CGATCTTAATTGTTTAAACTAATTTTGTTATAAATGTTTTTCGTTCACATAGAATGGTTGATAATAATGTAATAAAAAACCTTAGCAGAAGTCGATTGGTTGAATAGTTTTTGAGTTATCTTTCCCGCCAATTTCAAAAAAGTGGTTTTGAGAAAAACGCGTTTAAAGTTTTCGGTATCGAAAAGTAACAGAGCCAAGTGATTTTTGGCACTTACCGCTAATCTGCTATTCCAGACCCATACAATAAATCTTCCGCTTCCTCAAAAAATTCGTTTTCTTTTATTCGTAGTTGTCTACAAGCTGTGCGAGCTTCTATCGTGCTGCTTAGTCAGCGTCGTTCCTGCCTCATAATTCGCTGCTGGTCATAATTCTCGACAAATATCTTGCATTGTTGGCCAATATTTATTTCTAACAATTGCATTATTCTTATAATAGCAGAATAGCCTTCATTGAAGACACATGCAGCAATGAAGGCGGTGATTTCAATAATTTTTACACCGAAATTCAGGTGCTTTATAGCGAGGCGCCAGACGGTAGAGTTAAAACTCTTGTTTGAGTTTTGTGTATGTCCGTCTAAACATCTGGTTAAAAGATCTTCCTTTGAAAGCTGTTCAAGGTCGATAATACCGTGTTAGGGACCGATCGGCGGAGTACAATGCCGTGCACCTATCGTGCATGCCGTATCTGCGCGACGGGTATCTGTTTCCCAGGCTATAACTACAAAAGTATTTCGAATTTCGTTCTAAAACTTTAAGAGAATATTCTTCGAGAGTACTAATATTGATTAAAACAAACAAAAAAAAATCAAAAATTTTGACCCTGTAAACCAGGTTCCCCCCTTAATTTCCTTATCTGCACATTTCGACATTCCGCATCATTGTCCTGCGACATGTCGCGTGGAAACGTCGCAATCCTTAATATACTTTTATTACTTTTAATAATCGCTCAACCATTCGTAAAAATGCTCTTCTTTATTATAATTTTCAGACAATCCATATACAACTTTTTCTCACATATATTAAATTATACAATTCGTCCAAAGTATTAATAAATCGAGCCAAGTTTACATTTTCTTAGCAACGCTATATTGAAATCAATCAATAATTCCGTCATTCTCTTACCGAAAGTAACCAACTGCTGTTTTCGATCCACGAACGACGAGGTGAGAAACTGAGATTTCACCTGCGTGTATTTTGATGTCTATCTTTATCAATATATATAATATCTTTAACGTTGTACAATGCAACAAATAAATTTTACGGCTGACGATTTGCGGAATGTATTGAGAATCAAGAGAGACGCGCTCGATATTTGTCAGTAAGAGAGAAAGTTAATATCTTTTCGACGAATATTTGATTCGTAAATAAATCACTGTATACATAATGTATGTTACAAATTCGATCGAGTGATGGGAATGGTGAAGGAGGATAGCGATTAAACGCTTATCGAGATACGACACCAACTTCTCGAGACTGCAGGTACCGAGAAACCTGAACTTGAATGAATCTACGCTACTGAGAGAAAAATATTTTGTATTTGTGACTATAATTGCATGATAAAAAAATTATGGTTAGGAGCACTATTTTTATAGCTATTATTATTATAATGTTAATAATAATAACGTTATATATGTATGGTCCTACCAAGTATAAAAAAATTTTACTATAAATTATAATAATTTCAAATATTAACACAGTAAAATATCAAAATATGAACGAGATAAATGAAATTGTAAAGAATTCGCTTCATGTCCGAGATACGGCTTTGTCGCTATCGGTTGCCGCAATCAGGTAGCGAGCGACGTCACATAACATCCTCTCTCGCTGTCAGAGATTTCCCGGAAAATAGCTGTTTGCACCCGCTCCCCTACTGTGCTGACTAGTCAGCTATTAGCTACCGACGCGTACGGATAAAATTTAGCTCTCTTCGCTGCGTGCTTAAGAGTCTATTCCGCGGAAACTCCGGCGTATTCACACGGATTTCGCTCCATATAGCCAATCTTGTTGTGAGCCAAAGCCACTGTTGTTATCTTTTATATCTTATTGCGAGAGTGGAACGGGTGCGAATCGTTTGTGATTTATCCTACGATTTAACGTTTAAAAGTCAAAAGAACAGTTTTCCATCGCGTTCACGGCAGTTCCCTAATCGCTGTCGCGCGCTACTCTATCAAGCGGACTGCCTTACTGTACCCGACAAGATTGTAGCATTTGCTGTGAACTCGAACTCTTTCTGTTAATAAATCAGTGCATTTGTTCAGTTTAATAAGCCGTTGAGAGTGTAACAAGGTCGTACTAGCGAATCATCACAAAACAGAAATGAATATTTTTATGTAGTAAATGCAACTGCAATTATAGTAAGTATAACTATTTTCTTAACATTTGTTTACTATTTATATTGTAATAATAACTAAAATATAAGTAAACGAAAAAATAATACTATCAATCATAATGTATAACCATAATGGATTATTAAAACAATTATAATTTGCATGGTTAAATTAATTATGATTTTATTGTCCCCAAAATTCACTATAAATTATAATTAAATTATGGTTATTTCAAATATTTTTCTCTCGGTGCAGCTTCACGCAGCTATCCCCACAATCGTGTCAACTTTTTTCGTAAACGATATATACTTCTTCTTCGCGGTCAGCGTTAATAATTCGACGCCACTATTTACTCTTTAAAATGCTCCCCCCGCGAGACTCGAAACGAAGATTTCTCTTGAACGAAAACAAATTACTTCTGTGTCGTTTCTCGTAGCGAATACAGTGTAGCGTCTCACGAGCTCCCCTTGTTCCACGTTTCATCGCGCTGAGTGATATATGGCCCTTCCAGTGGCGCGGGACAATCAGTCAGTTAATTAGCAGCAGCCCTTCTTAATGGCTAATAGTGCATTTAATCTATTTATTTTGTAATACATTCTATTATGCAGGGTGTCCGCAAATTCGTCCGTACTCCTTCTTGAAGTGATTCGGAACTCAAAGAGAAGAAAAAAAGCTATATAAACGCAGGTTTGAAAATGAGTTACTAACGAATTATAGTAACTTTATGAAAATATGTAATATGTTTTTTACAGTCATAATCATAATTTATTTTATAATTTTTTAACAGAAATAATTTCATTTCCAACTAATTTGGCGTTAATCACGTGAAAGTATAGTTCGCTTAATTACGATTTTTTAACATAAAAGGCTAATGCAAAAACAACTTACTTCCAGACTTATAATGGTTATACAGCTTTTTTCTATCTTTTTGGGTCACTTCCATAAGTACTGGGTGATTTTCCGGACACCTGTATATGTATATGTACAGGGCTGAGCAAAATACACCATTAAAGTATTTAAAATACAAAATACAAAATATTAGGAATCTTAGTATTTGAATTACAAAGTATAAAATACTTTCAATCTTTTGATTTGAAATACAAAATACAAAATACTTTCAATCTTTCGATTTGAAA